TGTATCAAAGCGGCATACATACTAGTATATTATATAAGGAAAATGGGGCTTCTAACTCACAGGCCTTGTAAGAACTCCAATATCTCAGTCTTAATTTTTTAATTTTTTGATTTTAAAAAAAATAACCTCAGCATTTGTTGACTTCTCTTAACTCAGAAGTCTTTTTGATTTCTCTCATAATCACTGCAACACCCTTTTCAACTTTTCACATACACTATGATTAGTGATGTGATTGTTAAATTAATTTTATAAAAAATCTAAAAAAAATTAATTTGTATTTAAAAAAATATCTAAAACAAATATAAATATCTATATCTATATCTATATATATTATACAAGGAAAAAGGAGGTTTCTAATGAGAACCTCTTAAAAGTTCCAAACTCTCATTCTAAAATTATTAATTTTTCAATTTATAAAATAGATTAAAAAAACCTATTGGATGATTTATTTATTTAATTATTTTAGAAATAATAATTATTTATTAATTTATGGATTTCAAATGAGAAGATAACAAAAATATTTCATAATCTCTCCATCATAATCTCTCTCACCAATTTTCAAAAAAAAAAAAATTAAAACTTGCATTCATTTTCTCTTCTCCAAAAAATCAGATAATATTTTTCATGAAAGTTGTGGGCATCTATCTATATCTTATATATTATATTATAACATAACCAAAAAAAATTAAAAATCAAATATACAAACAGATAAAATTAATAAATTTGATTTTTATTTATTCAGTTCAAATATTTTTTTTGCCTCTCAATATCCAATTTTAAATTTTAAAATTTAAAAATCTATAAAGTCTATCTAAACAAATTTGATTTAAAAATATCTCCCACTATCATATTTTAAATCAATAAAACTCATATATCTATCACATATTTAACTCACATCATAACTTATCTAAATATTAATAATTAAAAACAAATAGTGACCATAGATAAATTAAACTTAAAAAAAATAGAAACCCACAAAAAAACAAAAGAAAATAGAAACCAAATAAAAATAAAGAAGATAAGAATTTAGATATGGATATCAAAATGATATAACAATATCTAAATTTGAATTATGATTTAGTAATATAATTATCTATTTTTTTTATGTATATCTATCAAAATTTTAAATCACTCAATGGGATAAATTAATCAATTTTTTAAAATTATTGATTTTTCAATTTATAAAATAGATTAAAAAAACTATTGAATGATTTATTTATTTAATTATTTTAGAAATAATATTTATCCCTTAATTTATGGATTTCAAATGGAAAGATGACAAAAATATTTCATAACCTCTCCATCCCAATCTCTCTCACCAATTTCCAAATATTAAAACTTGCCTTCATTCTCTCTTCCCCAAACAATCAAATGACATTTTTCATGAAAGTTCTAGATATCTATCTATACCTTATATATTATATTATAACATAAAAAAAAAAAAACAAAAAACTGAAAATCAGATATACAAACAGATTAAATTAATAAATTTGATTTTTATTTATTCAGTTAAAATCTTTATTTTGCATCTCAATATCCAATTTTAAATTTTAAAAATCTTCAAAGTTTATCTAAACAAATCTAATTTGAAAATATCTCCCGCCATCATACTTTAAATCAATAATATCTAACTCATATCATAACTTACCTAAATAATAATAATTAAAAACAAATAGAAACCATAGATAAATTAAATTAAAAAAAATAGAAACCCGCAGCTCCATCTTAAATAAATTGAAAAAAAAAATAAATAGAAACCATATAAAAATAAAAAAGATAAGAATTTAGATATGAATCTCAAAAAAATATGATAATATCTAAATTTAAATTATGATTTAGTAGTATAATTATCTATTCTTGTGATGTATATCTATCAAAATTTTAAATAACTTAATGGGACAAATTAATCAATTTTCAAGTCTTATTTAAAAAATTATTTGATTAGTCATCCTAATTCCTAGACTTCGCGGGTACTGGCGGAGGAGCTAACAGATTGAGTTAGGTGAGGTCTAAGTTGTTGGAGGTAACATTTTCTCACTCCATAAATTTATTTATTTTTTAATTTTATTTTTTTTCCTATGTGATTCTCTTTCGCTGCTGTTGGTTTGGTTTTGGTTTTGGTTTTGGTTTTGATTTTGGTTTTAGTGTGGTTTATGTGTTTGTTTATAGGTTTGCATGGTGGAGAAGAATTATTATTGATTATGATTACAATTGAAATATCTATGTCCGTTTTGTGCCAATGATTTTGATCAAATTTTGTTTTCTTCAATAAAGACCACAAAATTGAAGTAAAAAAATTGGGTATCAATTTTTTTTTTATTGGCATTTTATTTTATAGAAAATGTGGAAATTTATTGAAAATTCAAGATTTTACTATAACATTAGATTTTTGTATAACTAGATAAGTTTAAAACTTTTAAATATCATTGTGTTCTTTTTTTCATCATCTTTCTATCCTATTATACCATTATTGTTATTTGTTAGTTTGTTAATTATAATTCAATTAATTGAAAATGAAATCTTAATATAACTTTTCATATATAGTATAATTAATTTGTTACCGTTATAGTTATATACAATAGCATAATATGTAGAGATAATCTCTAAATATAATATATATTCTTTTATGTGATCAAATAGTCCATCTTAAATAGTATATAGAAGGGTTAGATGGCTTCTTCTATCTCTAAAAAACTCAATCTATTTTTTTGTACTTTTTAATTTTTAAATTGAAATATCAATTGTTTATGTCCATAAAATAAAATTGATAAACAAATATCCAAAAGCTACACATTTTTTTTTTCTTTTTCTTTTTTTTCTTTCTTTTTTTTAATATATAGGATATTTACAAATGGAAATGCTTCACACCTCAAAATTTTTCCATAATCTGGCTTATTATGATGTAATCGTAAGTGTCAATTTTTATACAAATATGATAAGAGAATTAATTAAATTATACATGTCAACCAACCACATACTCAAATTTTGACTATTTTAAGATGTTATTTCACTATAATTCCAATTAAGAGAATCTTTAACCCTTAATATTTTTTTAATCAAATTATAATTTGATAAAAATTAAAAAGATGAAATCAAAATTGGTGGCAAGAAAAAAAAATGGGATAAGAATGAAAGTTTTTTTAAAAAATTGATAAAAACTTAATGAAAAAGTTAAAGTAATTCATATCAAATTAAAATTTTTATTCAAATCTAAAATCAAATTAGATAAAATAAATTAAAAGAAAATAATTAAAGTTTAAAAATATTTTGACACTTTCTTATTCTTAAAAATTAGAAATTCGTATGTGTATTTTATTCATATTGTATTTTTAGTTATGAAATTGAAATCAAAAGAAATGTAACTTAAATTATTGGATTAATAATAGAAACATTATATTAATTATTATTAAATATCACTTCACTTCACATTTAATAATAAAATTGTATATTTGTTTTAATTATAATATTTAAATTTGTATATTTTCATAATAAGAAGAGATATGTTATAACTCATTTAATCGCATTTAATTATGTTTAACTTTTTTTTAATACAAATTGTCAAAATATATATATATATATAATTTTTTTAAACAAATAGCTTAAAAAGTTATAAACATAAAAGTTAACTTATAAATTTAATGGATATCATAAGACAAAATATTAAATTACTTCAAGAAAATTATAATAATTTTTTCTTTAAATTTATAAAATTCCGTGCATAACACGAGTTACCACTAGTTAAAACTAAATTGAAAACGTAGGGAAATGAATAAATTATATCAATAACCTCAATAATTTCTTATAAATTCTAATTTAGTTCTTCTGATTTTGTACGTTTTGTATTTCTTTTCAAAATATTAATAACAATGGTTGAAAAATCATATTAAAACCAAATTGAAAACGTGAGAGGTAAATAAATAAAATAAAAATTACAAAAAGCAATAACCAATAATATGTAATTTACCCTTATTAGTTTGGCATGTCTTAAAAAAGATAAAAAGTCAAAAAGTTATTATCCTATTTAAGTCACATCATCTTATTTAAGTCACATCACCTCTTTAATACATCACTTCAAATCCAACCCATATTCCATAAAAAATTAAAAAATACACTTATTTAGATCATCCCAAACAACCTCAAAGTCACATGACACGTTATGACACCTTACGCAAGCAATTACACCATAACTCCTTTTCTCTCTCTCTCTCTCAAATTAACCAACCACTAGAATATTCCCTCAGATCACCTCATCCTCTCTCTTTGCTCACCTTTTTTTTTGGAAAAAAAAAAAAAAAAAATTTAGAGTGGCTCTTGCTTCCTTTATTTGAGAGAAAAATAATTTATATTTGATTAATGGAAAACGAAATTTATAAAAAAATTATTCCGTGATCAATAAAAAATAAACATATTTGATTGAATTTTTTTTTATTGTTAAAAGATATAAAATATTTTTTAAACTAAAATTTTATTAATGTTACCATCACCATCATCACCGGAACTTGTACTTGAATCTTTATAAAATTTCTTCAATCTAGTGGTCCTATAATTTCTTACAAATTTCACTTAAATTTTCTAATTTTGCACCATTTTTTTCTTTTAAAATGTTAATGGTAATTAATGAAAAATTATATTAAAATAAAATTAAAAGTGTAAAACACAAATTAATAAAACTAAAATTAAAAATTTTATCAAACTAAATGGACAAATAATATAATTCAACCTCACCATATATACATAGCATCCTCTCAATATTATTATTTCAAATTTATAAATGAATTATTAATTATTAACTGATAAATATTAAGAAAAATATTTGATGATTCATTTTAAAATTATTTTGATAAAAATTCTCTCCAAGTATTTAAATAAATTCACACACCACATCTTACGCGAGCAATTACACAGCGCGGAGGACTCTCTCTCTTTCCGGTTCTCTAAAAATTACTAAGGCGAATATTCCCTCAGTATACTCTTTTTATCTCTCTTATAAAACTCTCTCACCTCCTTTTGAAACAACACTAGATTCAACAGGTAGAAAAAGCAGAGAAATGTGCGAGACGTTAAACAAGGATTACCAATTGTGCGAAGAGATCGGCCGCGGCCGATTCGGCGTCGTTTACCGCTGTTTCTCCGCCGTCTCCGGCGGCGACACCTTCGCCTGCAAATCCATCGACAAACGCCTCCTCTCCGACCCCATCGACCGCGACTGCCTCGACAAAGAACCCAAAATCCTCCACCACCTCTCCGCCACCAACCACCCCAACATCCTCCACCTCTACAACCTCTACGAAGACGACCACTACCTCCACATCATCACCGATCTCTGCGACTCCGCCTCCCTCTACGACCGCCTCACCACCCCCTTATCGGAACCCTCCGCCGCCGCGATCTTCCACCAACTCATCTCCGCCGTCAACCACTGTCACCGCATGGGTATAGCGCACAGAGACATCAAGCCCGATAATGTGTTTTTCGATTCACGGAATAAGTTAAAATTGGGGGATTTTGGGTCGGCGGAGTGGTTTTGTGGAGAGAGGGCGGCGATGAGGGGGGTGGTGGGGACGCCGTACTATGTGGCGCCGGAGGTGTTGTTAGGGAGGGAGTATAATGAGAAGGTGGATGTGTGGAGTGCGGGTGTGATTCTGTATATAATGCTTGCTGGTGTGCCGCCTTTTTATGGTGAGAATGTGGAGGAAACTTTTGAGGCGGTGATGAGAGGGAATCTTAGGTTTCCGACCAGGATTTTTAGGTCTGTGTCGCCCGAGGCCAAAGATCTGTTGAGGAAGATGATCTGTAAGGATGTTTCGAGGCGGTTTTCAGCTGAACAGGTTCTCAGTAAGTCAATTCTCATCTCTCTGTGATATTTAAATCCCTAAATTGAAGAATCTGAATTTTAACCCTCTGTTTGTTCGCTGAGAAAATAAAGGAAAAATAGTAGAGGACAATGTTTGGTCCAACTTTGTATTGGGTTTACCCTTTCTTGGTTCCTGATTTATAAAAAAATGGAAGTTTTCAAGCAACATATATATATATATATATATATTTTCCCCCCTTTTTCTTCACTTTCTCTGCAACCAAACAGTGTAATTAGAATTGATTATGGGTCGAATTTATTTTGATTTTGTTTTGTTTTGTTTTGTTTTGTTTTGCATATTCACCCAATACTTTGATTTGATTCATGTAGATACATGTCTTGACTCGAATTCTTTTGTATTTTGCAGGGCATCCATGGATGATCAATGGAGGAGAGACCAGATCAATGAATGATCCGACCTGAAAATCAAGCTTCAAAACTAACTAGCCTTTGATGTACATATACACCACCCATGAAAGTAGAATGGATAGATGGTCGGTCCCAAGTAACCCAGGTTTCTTTCTTGCAGATTTAGAGAGTCAAGGAAAGAAAGAAAGTGAAAGAGTCTTCTGCTGCACCCATGGGAGACTTGAGGGTCTTCACTTTTTGTGATGTTTTTGCAGAGAATCTTGAGGGAGTATAATAGTAGTAGTGGTAGTATTATGTGAGGGTATGGAGAATAAGGGTGGGATATGTATATGAGAGAATGAGAATCAAATCCCTTTTTCTTTTTCTTTTTTTGTGTTTTTGTATGAGGAAGTGATGGAGAAGTGTTTGTTTGGAAGGAAGGAATCTAGAAGTTATATCATGAGCATGAATTTCATGAATCTTGCTTTCTTTCTGAGTAATGGGAATTTGCTAAAGCTTTGGTATTTTTGTATGGGAATAAATCAATGAGAATCATGCTTTCTTTTGTTTGAATGCCTTAGTGGTGGGGGGTGCAACTTTTTTTTCTTCAAGTTGAAAGTTAATCCAGAAGACTGAAAAAATAGTGATATTCTAGAAAAGTAAGTGTGGGCATGCACCTGCAAGTGTGTTCTGTAGAGCAATAGAATGAGTTTCAAACAATCATCTAAACTTTTCTTTGAAAAATAGTAGTAACATAATGATTGATTTTTTATTTTTTATTTTTTTTTAGGAAAACATATTGATTGATGCTTTAATAGGTTGTGAGCTATATTTTGTGAGTAAATAAATAATGGCAGTGAGTATATAAATAATGGCAAGTTCTTAGAAACTGTGATTCTAATTCGAACCCGAATCATATTGCATTTCACTCGTTCAATTTGGTGTGGTTTCATAATTTGATTTATTAGTTTAAAATTTCATAAAATCGTCGATAGTGGTTATGTATGGAAGGAATTTAGAAGTTATATGAGCATGATATGTCTTTTTATGAGTAATGGGAAACTGCAAGAAATTTTTAGATTTTGAAATCTTGAGTTAAAACCATCTTTCTAATTTTTGATTAAATTGGAAGGATTTTACTTGCATAATCCTTTTGTGTGTTTGTATGAGAATGAGTCAATATATCAAGTTTTCTTTTGTATGAAGGTGATGGGGAAGTAGTATATATTATTTATGAATTAATGTGGTCCCTTCTTATAACTGATGTTAACTTTAGATTGAAAATGCTGACATGAACTTCATAGTAGTTGATATTCAACTCATATTTTGGATTTAAACAATCCATATATTTTTCTTAAAAACTCCTATTTGGAAAATATTAAATTGAACATAAGCGAATAAATTAATTTTAAGAACTAAAATATGGCTCCGTTTAGGAAGAGTTAAACGGGATTTTTTTAGCTATTTTAGCTATAAAAGACAAAATAGGTTATTTTAGCCATAAAAAATAAAATATCACATTCAACCTATAATCATTATACTCTTCTCTAAAAAAAAAAAAAGTCAAAAAAGGCAAAAAGTCAAAAAGTCAAAAAGTCCTTCCCAAACTAAACTTTTTAGTCTAAACTAAAATAGTCAAAAAAATTAAAAAATTAAAAAGCTAATCCACTTTCCAAACGGAAGCTATATATTGTACCGAGGAATGGAGTCTTCTAATTCTCTCCTATCGCTATAAGAAGTTAATCTTCTATCCATTGTGCTTTTGTTGAGATAATCTTTAAAATTCCTTAAACTTTAAATTTTTGTATAGTGCATTAAAATATAATATTATACGCATTGATAGATCAATATTATTTGGCTTAAACAAACCCAACTTGATATAAAAATGTCAATATTTTCCGAATAAACTTGACAACAATTATAGGAACGAATCATATTGAATTAATGTGTAAAATTTGTTAGTTTGTATAGTATTGCTCCAACAAATATATACAATAATTTAGAAAATATTTAATAAGTCATAAAGTCTCGTTTGATAATATTACTTTTTAGCTTAAAAGTTAAACAGTAACTATAAAAAATAAAAAAATCAACGACTTATATCAAAAAGTCAAAAATTTCTTTTTCTCTCTACTTTTGCACATCTTTTTGTAAAAAATTAAAAAGCCATTCTAAATATACTAATTTTTTACATCATATTTTATCCAAAAAGTTACTAAAAAAAACTTGTTTCCAAAATGAATCTAAAAGTAATATATATATACATATATATATTTGTTGTTGATAATTTATACTAATTCTATATATACTTTTGATATAATTATACTGATATTTTTTTATTAAAGTTAAAATAACTGAAATTAACGTAGATGGTGGAGAGATACTGAAATAAATAAAATTAAATATATATTTTAATATAAAAGATATAATAAATTTTTTTTTTTATTTATACTACTAACAAATGGCCTATCTATTTTGTGAATTAAAAATTAAGAGAAATTAATATAATTATGCCATATGTAAAATTAATTATGTTTTTTTAAAACTTTAAAGCAGGTATGTAATTTACTTTTTTTGTGGGGTAAAAATGTCTAGAGAGTTATAATTGTGGAAATCTTGAAGTAAAAGCAAGAAATTGTTATGAATTTTGACGGAGATTGAGATAGGTATTCGGCATATTACTGGTTAATTTGGGATGTAAATTGATTTTTTAATTTTTTTGATCATTTTAATTTGAAGTTAAAAAATCTTGTTTAGAAAGAAATTTTTTTAATTTTTTAAACTTTTTGTAAAAAAAATAATATAATAATTATAAATTAAATATAATATTTTATTTTTATTAAATTAAAAGATATATTTTATCTTTTTGACTAAAATATCCTCAACCGTGCTTCTCAAACAAAGCCCACTTTGCATATGCTTTGGGAATTTGCATACGCCATCTTTCTTCCAGTTTACTTTTTTGGCTTGAAGCAGAGGATGATGATGTCACTGATTACATCACTATTCCTGCTTCCTTTTGGCCCAAGGTTGGGCAGGTCGTGTTCAAACCCCAAAAGAAAAAAAACAAAAATGGTTGGGCAGATGATTCTCTTGTATTCCGAAATTTTGCCGAACTTCCAATTTGACTTGCACTATCACAATCTTTGTTTGGTAGTGCTATTTCTCTAAAACTGATGAATTGACTAATGCTAATGATGAGGGATGGAATTAGAAAAAGATTATCGCTCCGTTTGGTAAAGAAGTTTGAGGTTATCAAAAAGTTTTTTTAAAATTAAATTTTTGATTTATCGATTACATCAAAATCAAAAGAACTTAATAATAATTACACATTTCAATCTTCAGTTTGTTAATTTTATAAGTGGAAATTTATGTGGTTGTATTAAGAACTGGGGAGGGTGTTTTGTCATTTTATTTTAAATATATATATATATATCATTTTATATATAAAATGACTCCATAATATAAGAAAATACATATGTTATTATTCTTTCATCTTTTTTCTTTCCTTCCTATTTTACACTAAAAAAACTTATTCATCCTATTGGAGATTGTTTTATAGTATTTAATTTTTTTTTCCTATGTATATATAATTTATATATCATATTGTACATATATATATTTTTGTGTATTTAGTGATTTTTTTTTTCAATTCCTCTAATAATAAAATCATGATTTCATCTTGCTAGGCCTTATTTGGTTTGTTTTTGAGAAATAAATTTTGAATTTTTTTTTAAAATTTTGTTTGGTTGGGTGATTTTGGAAAAAAAATCTTTTTATCTCCTACACATCAATCAATCACTTTTTTTATCTCTTTATCTCTCCTCTCTCCTTTTCAATTACTTTTTCTTTCATACACATCTACTCAATTATAACAAAATATTAAATCATCCTAAACTCTCATACTCTAAAATTATTTTCAAAATATACAACCAAACAAACCAAAAAAGTTTCTAAACTCTTACCCTAATTTTTTTTTTAAATTTATCTTTCAAAACCAAATCAAACATATCCATATAAATTTTTGACTTTGGGCTTTCCACGTGGGAAAGTTTGGGTTGTGTATTTATAGGGTTTATAAGAGGGAAAATGTTTGGGACCCCTTTTGGGGAGACCCCCGCCACCTTTACAGTGATGTGAACCAATAATGTGTTTGTATTTTTTTTTATTTCTCTTTCTTACTTGAACCAATCACAAGTAAGTGAGAGTTGTGGGGATAATGTTTTGTGGAGGTCTGAATCATTATTGTTTATGAGAGGCTCCAGTCAATAATTGTTTGGGTGTTAATTTTTTGCCAGTGTCGCTCTATTTACTTATATGTTTAAGAAAAAAATAATAATTAATTAATTTTTTTATTTTACTACTTTTTAACAGTTTTACACTACAATAAATTTGCAAAAAATGGAATTAAAAAAAAGAAAATCGAAAATTTGTAAAAAAAATTATTTTAGAAAATTGGCTCAAAACCTTCTTTACTTCCCTACCAACAAAATTAAAAATTTGTATCAACACCCTAGTAAATATTAAAATTATTTTCAAATTCTTTACCTAGTCCAAGGAAAATTATATTTCCACACATCAAATTATCTCAGCCCACACACTTAATGAATCTTTTTTATATTACATTTTTGTCCTAAAATAAAAATATCAAAATACCCTTTTCTTGCCAACAGAAACCCTAAGTCTCGTCGTTGGTTTCTGCCTAGCTCCTCACCTCTGATCGCCGCCCCTCCACAGCTTCCATTCCTTTTGGTCACCTCCATTAACCACCACATCCACCGCCAACAACAATCCAGCCACCGTCATCCTAACCCCAACATCACCACACACCACTGTTACCGCCACCGCCGCAATCAAACCGCCGTCCTCCCCAATCTTCTTCCTCTTTCAGCAACCTTCTCTAGTATTTTTCTCCAACTCCTGCTGCTCATCATCGTTGGGATCACACTATTCTCGGTTGCGATCTCGATCAGCTTGCCCTCACACCAGCACCCTTCGCATCATCTTCCCTACCTCATATCAACCCGCACAGCCACCGCACCTGCCATAGCGAACCTCCTCTTTCATTTCTTCTTCTTCTTCTCTTTAAACCCTAGACCTGGATTTTTTAGATCTTTTCTCTGTTAATAATGGTGGTCGGGGCTGTTATCAGTCATTAGCAATATGAATTGGGCTACGATGGTAGTTGGAGGTGGTGGTTTTGGGACAGCAGGAGGTACAGAGATTGGTGGTAATAGTGGTGTGAATGAGGAATATCAGGGCATTCTCGGTATAATAAAGTTGTGTATTGAGTAAAAAATGAGATTTCAAATTTATTAAGTATGCGTGCTTAGAAATAATGTACATATAGAAGATTTGATGTTTGGAAATAGAATTTCCCCTAGTCCAACCATAACCTCCTTTTCCGTTATCTTCTCTCGTCGATTGTTGCTGCTATCGCTAGCACACTACAACTTGCATCCGTTTATCCTCCATCATATTCTCTTCATTTCCTCACACTCTTGTAAAAGTTCCTGATCACTCCTTTGCAACTCCTTCACTTTCCTTTCACATTCCTCTACAACTCCTTGCTA